GGGAGCAGATACATTTCAGCTCTATAGAAGAACATCACTATAGCCATACTCGGTCAGACCAAAGGTCCTTCTAGCCCAGTATCCTGTCTGCCGACAGTGGCCAATGTCAGGTGCTTCAGAAGAAATAACCAGAAGAGGCAATCATCATGATCCATCCCCTGTCGGCTATTCCCAACTTCTGGCAAACAGAGGCTAGGGACACCATCCCTGTCCATTCTGGCTAGTAGCCATTGAGAGATATATCCTCCTTGAATCTATTTGGTTCTTATTGGAATCCTGTTATGGTTTAGGTCTTTGCACCATCTCCTGGCAATAGTTCCACAAGTTGACTGTGAAAAAATAATTGATTTTGTTTGTTTTAAATCTGCTGCCTATAAATGTAATTGGGTCAGCTTCTTGTGTTATGTTAGTGAATGAATGACTAACATTTCCTTATTCTATTTTTCCACACTGTTCATGATTTTCTAGACCTCTAACATATCCCCCTATCCTTTACTCATTTCTTTTCCAAACTGAAAAGTCCCAGTCTTGTTAATCTCTCCTCACATGGAAACTGTTCCTTACCCCCTAATCATGTCTGTTGCCCTTTCTGTACCTTTTCCAAATCCAATAGATCTTTTTTAGATAGGTGACCAGATCTACATACAGTATGCAAGATGTGGGCATACAATGACTTTATATAGAGGCAGTATGGTATTTGGTGTTGTTATTTGTTATTTTCCCAATGTTCCCAATATTCTGTTAGCTTTTTAGTTTTTAGACTGCATTGCACATTGAACAGGTTTTTCAGGGAACTATCCCCAAGGATTCTTAGATCTCCTTCTTGAGTGATAACAGCTGTTTCAGATCCCACCATTTTTGTATCTCTAGTTAGGATTATCTTTTTCCATGTGCATTACTTTGCACTTGTCAACACTGAATTCCATCTGCCCTTGTGTTGCCCAGTCACCCATTTTTGTGAGATCCCTTTATAACTCTTTGCAGTCAGCTTTGAATTAGACACTGTTCACCCCATTTTCAAGAATATTTATACATTTAACATCCAAACACAGATCCCCGCAGCACAGCACTCATTCCTACAGTGGAATGAATGCCCAACCTTTTGTTATTTTTAATCATCCTGCCTCCCTCTTTTTATAACAAACCCTCTGCCCCAAAGGGAGGCTCAAACTCTGTTGCATTTAAGAACTGCCTCTGGAGTCAGGGCATAGGCTTCAAGCAGACCTCAAGTATGAAATCCAAGGGTTCAAGCTTGGGAGGTGGAGCTCTGCCTCCTAACCCCCCTAAATGGCACCCTTGTTTTAAGGCAGGGGTGGGCAATAATTTTTGTTGTGGGGCCACTCCAAGATTTTGGAAAATGGTCAAGGGCCGCACTCTTCTGTGGAGGGGGTGGGGAGTCTAGGATGGAGGTTGGGTGCTGAAGGGCACGTGGGGTAAGGGACTGGGGTGCAGGAGACAGTGTGAGGTCTGAGAGAGTTTGGGTGAAGGGAGGGGGGTTGTGACCTGGGTCAGGAGATTGGGGCATAGGGTCAGTAAGGGAGTATGGGTGCAAGAGAGGATTCTAGCCGGGGCGAGGGGCTCTAGGAGGAATTGTGACCTGGGAGAAGGGAAAAAGAGGGTGCAGACTGCAGCGGGTTTGGGTGGTGACCTGGGGCAGGGGAATAGGGTGAAGAGTCTGGGAGGGTGTTTGGGTGCAGGAGAGGAGTCTGGCCTGGCAAAGGGGTGTAGGAGGGAGTTGTGACCTGGGGCAAGGGGGAACAGAGGCTTTGGATGGTGATCTGGGGAAGGGAGTTGGGGTGCAGGAAGGGGAGGATCTGGCTGGGAAGCACATACCTAAGTGTTTCCTGGCCAGCATCGCTGCAGCATCCCCAAGGCAGTTTGGACACCCTGCCTGCTGCAACCCCAGACTGCTTGAAACTGCAGGCAGTTCCCTCCATGTGGTTCTCCGCTCCAGGAGGGGGAAGAGGCTTGTGTTGCCCCTATTCCCCAGGCCAATATCTCAGCTCCTGTTGGCGTGTTGCTTCCAGCCAATAGGAGCTGGGGATTGGGTTGAGGGATCATACGAAGCCTCCCCCTGCCTGCAGAGCAGAGAGCTGCATGGACTGAGCTTTACACTGCGGCAGCTGTGTACCTGAGGGTCCTGGCAGGGTGGTCCACGGGCCAGATCCAGTGGTATGGCGGGAGGGATCTGGCCCCTGGGCCGTATTTGCCCAGTCCTGCTTGAAGGGTACATATTTTCAAGCATGACAGCTAGAAACTTAATTTAAAAATCAATAAAAAAGCTGAGATTCTCATATAGTCACATGGCTGGAGGAACAGGGCTTTAACAGAAAAGCACCACATATTGTGAAATGCATGATAAAACTGCAAGAGCTGACAATACTGTCATATCACCAGAATCTGTTGGCCAGATATCCAGCCTGCTTCACAGACTAAGTGTGTAATTTCCTGTTTGTAAGGTGTATATCATTTCTTTCTGTCTTAAAAGTCTGTTAAACTTTTGAGTACTGAACAAACAATATACCTGGTTTCAGTTCTACCAGGCTGATTTCAGCATAGTTCTTGAAATCATTTACTCTCACCATGATGCTTCTGGGCAGTCTGTGCCATTAGTGAAATAGTACAGTCAATTGATAATAGCTATTAATGGGATTGCCCTACTTGTTAATTACTGGCTCAGAGCCTACCTTTTTTCTTTATGAAGCAAATTTATTTAGCAACCGCTAGATGGCCAGCAGGGATTTAGTTTGACAAAAAACTTAATGCTTATTAAGTTTGCATTTGGCTGCAGGGTACAAAAATGGTTACTCTGGTTGCAAGCCAGGGTGGATGTGCAGGAGTGGCACTGGAGATTAAGAATCTGGGCAGGAGGCAGGTGAAGAAGCGGGATGGGGATGGGGGACTGGGAGTGGGGGGTACAGGAAGGGGCAGAGATTGAGCCACCTACTGGGCACCTACTAGGCACAGCTGAAGGGGATGCAAGTGGCTTTGTGCAGCACTGAAGAGAGTCGCTCCCTGCAAGCACTGCTCCCTCTTCCTCTCCTATTGGCCGGGATTCAGCCAATGGGAGTGATGTGGGGAGGGGAGGCAGGGCAGGCAGTGCCCACAGGGAGCACTTTCCGGAAGCATGCAGAGCAACTTCCTCCCCCTGCTAGACAGAGCCTGCAGGTCAGATCTGGCCCCAGCTTTCCTTGATCTGGTCCATGAGGCTCAGGCTTCCCCTCTGCAGTGGGGAGCTGGTACTGGCGCACCAGTCACCCCCCCCCCCCTTCCCCGCATGGTAGCAGCGCCAGCACTAGTTCACACTGCTGCACAGGGAGGGAGGTGAGCCTCACAGGCTGAATCAAGGCTGGCTGCAGGCTGGATCCAGCCCACGGGCTGTAGGTTCCCCGGCCCCCATGTAATTTGTCACACACAATGAACCAGTGACATTAATATCACACGCTGGAGCTCTTATGAGCTTCATCTGTACTGGTGAATATTTTAAGGTGACTAATAGCATTAAGAATGATTACTAAGGGCTATTTAATTACTATCTCCTCATCAATATCTTTTTTTTTTTGTGTACGCTTTTAAAGCATTCCTCTCACCAAAAAACAACCTTGCATTACTGCAGAGGTTCTGACAAATGTCTCAGACGCTTCGCCAAAGGATCAATGCCCACAAAACAGATATCAGACAGGATCACAAAGAAAAAACAGTTTCTTGCCATTTCAACCAGAAAGGACATTGTCTCAATGACTTGATTACCTGCATCCTGCTTCAAAGACCTTTTAAGACTTCACTTGAAAGATAATCCACTGAACTATCATTCATGCCTAAATTCGACACTTTACACTCAAATTTGAATAAAGATGCTAATTATCTTACCCATTACAAAGATAGCTTCCCCAATTATCACCTCTAATATCATTAGCTCACAGACATTTACCTCCCCCCCCCTCCATCCCCCTTCCGTTCTGAAATTTGATTTGTCCTTTTCATATGTGTTCATTTTTTTAATTGTATCCTTTGGTATATATGGTTGTGACGATTTTCTTCCACTATTTGATCTGGGGAAGTGGGTCTGGCCCACGAAAGCTCATCACCTATTAAACCATCTTGTTAGTCTTTAAAGTGCTACTCAGTCATGTTTTTTGTTTCTGAAGCCCCCAATGAGTCTTTCCCTTTACAATTTTCATGGCTGAGTCAAACTGTGTTTTATTAATTGATGTCAGGGTAATTCTGCTGATGACCAGAAATCTCATGAGTGCTCCAAAAAAAACCAAACAAAAAAACCAAGCCATTTTCAAATACTATTTCTGGAATGCTATTTCTCCAGTGTTGGAAATTTTAAAGACCCGGCTTGACAAAGCCCTGTCTGGGATGATTTAATTGGGATTGGTCCTGGTTTGAGCAAGGGTTTGGCCTAGATAACCTCCTGAGGTCTCTTCCAACCCAAATCTTCTATGATTCTCTGAAGTACCTTGTCTGAGAGACTATTGTGGCAAGTCATTGTTAGCCACTGGAATTGCCTTGCTAGCAATGAGGAGCGGGGAGGAACGTGTCAGTGATTACACTGTTCAGAAGGGTAGGTGGGTATCTCAATACTTGTATTAACCTAAAGTCTGTGATCATACTGTCCAAACTTTTAAAGAAATCTGGATAACTTTGCATAAGGAATGAGTTTCACATCAGTGGTGCAACTGTTACATATTTGGACCAAGATTTTCAAAAGTGACCAATTTTTGGCTGCTCAACTTAAAACATTTTGCATGGAGCCTGATTTTCAGAGTGGGTTGCTCACCGTTTTCTGGAGCCCATCCTCTGAACATCAGGTCCCTTTAGGGTATTTCAGATTGTACACTCAAAAACACATACACCCCAAATCATTTATCACTTGAAAATCTTGGCCTTGGTCTTTTATTCTGCTGCTTTAAAACTCTGCTACATAACTTTATTAGTCAGACAGCCAATTTTATAGTTTGTTCTTACAACTTTTTCTCTCTCTTTTCATGCAGCATCACAATGTTACATCATCTAGTATTTCTCTTAGGAACGTCGCTGGTAGCCAAAGAAATATTTGCATCTATAAACTGCTATTACCAAAAACAAATCGCCAGGTATAATGGTTGTAGCCTCACTGAGGTTCCACTTGTGCCCAAAGATACTCTTGTGTTCTGGCTAAATTTCAACAAAATCAGACAAGTGAATGCTTCCTCCTTCCCTCTCCTGGAACAATTGCTGATTTTGGAAATTGGAACTCAGTCTGTTTCCTCTGTTACCATAGGGAAAGCAGCTTTTAGGAACCTGCCAAACCTTCAAACCTTAGATTTAGGGGACAACAAGATACTTCATCTGGATCCTGAAGCTTTTGTGGGATTGTCAAATGTAAATACACTCAGGCTTTTTCACAACCGTCTTGACGAGTCCATTCTAGAAGAAGACTATCTTCGAGATTTTATCTCCTTAGAATATTTGGATCTTTCTTCAAACCAGATCAAAATCCTTCGCCCTCATCGCTTATTTTACCATTTAAAAAACCTGACAATTGTGAACCTGAAATACAACCAGATACCTATAATATGTGAAGGACACCTTGATAGCTTCCAAGGAAAATTCTTCTCGTTGTTTATTCTCAATTCTAATTATTTATACAAACCAACTTCTGAGGACTGGGCCAACTGTGGAAATCCTTTCAAAAACATAGCTCTAGGGACATTGGATCTTGGTAGTAATGGTTGGGGGGAGGATAAAGTGCAACACTTCCTCACAGCTGTGAATGGGACTCCAATTGACTTTTTGAAATTTAAAAATCACATAATGGGTTCAGGATTTGGCTTTAAGAACTTCAGAGATCCAGACAAAGATACATTTGCAGGGCTAGCACGAAGCGGCATTCGCCTGCTGGATATTTCACATGGTTTTATTTTCTCTCTCAATCCTTATTTGTTTCAGAGCCTGGGTGATTTGGAATGGCTAGACCTTAACCATAACAAGATAAATCAGATCCAAAAGCAAGCATTTTTTGGTCTGAGAAACCTAAAAACTCTAAACCTGTCATATAACCTTCTGGGGGAGCTATACAATGACGCTTTTGAGGGGCTTCAGAATGTGAAGCTTATTGATTTGCAACAAAATCATATTGGAATAATTGCTCAGAATCCGTTCAGGGATTTATTAAGTTTAGAGATGGTAGATCTCCGGGATAATGCCATTAAAACTCTTCCTTCTTTCCCGTCCATGGCCACTATTTTTTTAAGTGACAATAAGCTACTATCTATAGGTAGCCAGACAATAAGGGCAACATTTATTAACTTGGAAAGAAACAGATTGGCCAATCTGGGTGATCTTTATATTCTTTTACAAGTTCCAAATGTGCAGTATATCCTTTTAAGACAAAATCGTTTATCTGATTGTAATAAACATGTTAATGTTTCAGAAAATAACCAGTTAATCTACTTGGATCTAGGAGAAAACATGTTAAAGCTTGTGTGGGACAGAGGTTTATGTTTGGATGTGTTCAGGGCACTTTCCAATCTACTGGTGCTTCACCTGAATAACAACTACCTTACTGCCCTGCCACAGGATATTTTTAGTGGTCTAAAATCACTGAACAGACTTAACTTAGCCTCAAACCTGTTGTCTTACCTTCCTCCTGATGTTTTTCCCGAAAGCCTAAAGACACTTAATATGTCTGAAAACCAACTTCTTTCACTTGCCCCTGAGGTCTTTATGACTTTGAGTCTCCTGGATATAACAAATAACAGATTTTTTTGTGATTGCACTTTAAATACCTGGATAGCATGGGTAAATAAAAGCAATGTGACCTTAGCTGGCTCAGAAAATGACACCTACTGTGTACTCCCACCTGGTCTCACGCGGGTTCCCTTCTCGTCAGTGGCACTTGATGGGTGTAATGAAGATGAGCTCCAGAAGCCTCTACAGTTCTCACTGTTCATCTTCACTTCAGTCACTCTGATAATGTTCCTAACAGCAGTCATTGTTTTTAATCACTTTCGGGGAACTTGTTTTGTCTGGTATAAGACCATCATAGGGACTCTGCTAAAAGAACGTAAGCAAGCAATAGATACAAGTGCATACAAATATGATGCCTATCTATGCTACAGCAACAGAGACTTTGAGTGGGTTCAGAATTCATTGCTAAAGCACCTGGACTCTCAATATTCTGAGAAAAACAGATTTACTTTGTGCTTTGAAGAGAGAGATTTCCTGCCAGGGGAGGATCATATCACCAACATCCGCGATGCCATTTGGAATAGCAGGAAAACGATTTGCATTGTGACAAGGCAGTTTCTCAAAGATGGGTGGTGTGTGGAAGCCTTTAATTTTGCCCAGAGCAGATACTTTTGTGACCTGAAAGACGTCCTCATCATGGTAGCGGTTGGGTCACTATCTCAGTATCAGTTGATGAAATACAAACCGATTAGAGTCTTTGTGCAGAGGAGTCAGTATATGCAGTGGCCTGAAGATCATCAAGATGTAGACTGGTTTTTAAACAGTCTCTCTCACCAAATTCTACAAGAAAAAAAGGTGAAAAAGAAATCCAGTGTTACAGAAATGCAAACGATAAGGACAATCTCGTAGTTGGGAGGGTTGTTCATACTACTAGTGCCATAAGCCAGACTTTTGTAGTTATATTTTTGCTTGTGGCTTGACAGTTACTTGAATATTCTCAATCCATTTCCACCTGTGATATGGCAGGAGCAAGATACAGGCCATGCTTCAGCTTCCCTGAGACATGGGTAGAATATAACTTCCTTGCTTTAAGTTTTAATACACATGGTGTCAGCTTTAAAATCACTGGCAAATGGAATTAACAATGTGCAGTTATTCTAGGAGCTGTGGCCCACGTTTTCAAAAGAAACCACCAATAATGGATGTCTCAAATGTTGGGTGCTCAGACTGGGACTAAGGATGTTAAGAGGCAGGTAATTGTGCATCAACTACACAATTAGTTGATAAGGGCAGGTGCTCAGAAGGAGCTACTCCCACTGTGGCTCTACAGTTTAAATGTAGTAAGAGTCAGATGCTCAGTCAGCCTGGCTCCTACTACAGGCAGTCCCCGGGTTACATCAATCCGACTTAAGTCAGACCCCTAGTTACAAACGCGGGAGGGGGGCGGGGTGCCTCCCCCAGCAGACCAGGGAGACGCAGAGCGGCTTTCCTCGCCATGGAGGACGCGAGCAGCGGGACCGCCCAGACGCGGCGCGGTCCCGCCACCCGCGTCCTCCGCGGCGAGAAAAGCCGCTCAGCGGC